TCACTAACAATCTCTTGCAGCAGGAAAGATTGGAAAGAAAATTAGACCTTGAGTCAATTATTTTCTTATTGGTAGTTTTCAGTGCCATACAAGCCACATGAATTGGCACTGCACATAGATATTAACCAAAAGATGTCCTGTGTCAACTGTGTTCTTGTAAAAACTGTTCGGGGAACTGTAGTGGTCCTAGTATCCCATGAGATAACTGCCACCACAGAAACATCAGGTGGAAATGTGAGAAAGACATGAGTTTGCCCTTCATTTCTTCTATATTCCTTGGAACCAGCTAATTGCTGTTTTCCACCAGTGCTGTGATGGTAATCCCTGACCCTGGCCAGCCTCTGTTCAGCCAGTTTAAGTAGATGTGCTTGTACATAAAAGTTATTTATGTACATAAATACTATTTAATGTATATTATTTTTATTTATAAATAAATAAACGTTTTTAAGAAATGTTAATTTGAAGTATCTGCTATTCTCTTTATTACATATGTGCTGGCAAGTTAGAGAATAAAAACAAAACAAAAACAAACAAAAAACAACACCACCACCACCAAAATCCTAACACCCTTGCCCCCCAACATAGAGGAAAAATACAATTAGAAACAGATGAAAAATCAGTATCTTGTCAGAACTGAAATATTTGCTAACAGAAAAAAAAAGGGGGGGTGGGGGGGGGGGACGGGATGGGACGACACATATTTTCTTGTAGGCCAAATAATTTACTATTATATTTCAAATCATCAGATTCACTTTCTGACAAATATGCTTTTTACTCTAAATGCATTATTGCAAGACTGAAACTTCTGTGATTTCATGGATTACAGATACCATAGCAGAGAAATTTGAGGTTGCATTTTTCTGGGCATGTAGATAGATTTTAGACTGCCATTTAAAACTTTTCTTGGAAAGGAATGGAATTTTCTAAGGCATGCTCATTATTGTAGAATAATGGAATATATGTTACCTGACAACTTAGATATTTTGGAACAACCCATCCAAGAATAAACTTAAGAACTTTTTTATAGTCACAGATTTCCTTAGGGTATTATAGTCAGTGAGCTCCTATTTACTCTGTGCAGTATATGAAGGGATTTGTATAAAGTTTTTACAAGTTGAAACATTTAAAAAATGTTATATGAAGTAGCTTCATATTAGTGACTATTTATGAACTATGAAGCCAACAATTACAGTGTATGTATGAGATTAAGAATGGAAATGTGTATGAGTCACAAGTTCTTCTGATGTGGGGAAGGACAGCAATCATTTAGATGAGACACCTCCTGGGTGGATCAAAAAAATTCCCATTAGCTTTGATTTGGCATTGACCCAACTGCCTTAAAATATGTTTTGTTTTCCTGATTCGGTGACTTAACTAATTCTGCTTCTATTCCAATGTAAGATACATTATTAAAAAATCCCAACTCAAATTATTCGTCTACAACAGTGCAATGCCACTGATGCCAGCCTTCACAGCTGAATGGGAAACAGAACCCATTAACTCAATATTCAAATGGTTCTCAATGTTTTGTAAAATATTTTGAAATTGTTGCTATACTTAACTAGGAAGCTTTTATATAGTCCCTCAACTGAACCACAGTACATATTAGATAGATTTGATAATAACTGTATTGACTCAATCTTTTAAAATAGAGTTTTCTAACTGATATGGCATGGAAATTGTTGTCCTACATAATAGATATAAGCTTTAATTCACATGTTCTGTACACAATACAGACTTTGGATCATTGTCCTCATCTTTTCCAGTGAATTGTTAAATAGTTTCTTTTACTAGCCAGAACATAAAGGTACTGTCATTGTCAGAAACAGATTTTATTTTGCTTTCCAAAAAATCATCACAGTATTTACACACTTGTTCTTACCATTCAGTAAGAGCCTGATCCAATTACCAATAGTTCTTTTGGTGACTTTGCTGGGTGCAGGACCAAGCCCTGGGTGGGTAATGCTGCACATATTGCTAGTTGCCACTGTGTCTTGGCTTTACCCTTGCACAGAGGGTTCCTCATGCCATACAGGAGGGGACCTACATGGTTGCAATGTGGGGTGGGTGTTACATGCAGTCGGGATACAGAGATGGGGTAGCATCACCCATGACCCCAAGCTTCAGCATTGCCATCCAAGCAATTGTTGTTTTCCCATAGCTCTGGTCACAACTGCATCTGAAGCAGAGCCAAAAACCATCCACCGAAGGTCATCACTGAACTTATTCTGTCCAAACTACAGCTGGGCAGGGATACTGCTGGAGAAGGCTGTGATCTTGCTGGCTGGACAGCCTGTGCATGTGGATGACACTCAGCGCAGTCAGCCATCAAGCAGTGTGGGGAGACAAAATTTAGAAGTGCAAGGACAGGTGGAGGGATTTGTTCAGTCTGAAGACTGAAAGAAGATGTAAAGGGAAAGAGGGAAGAAAAAGACCTGATCTCAGCTGATTTTGCACTATTCAGCCTTATTCTGAATTACAGTGGTGGATGGCACTGTCCGAAGCAGAGAGAAGTTTGTGGAGTGCAGGATGGGGGAAGAAATAAGAAAGGAGGATAATACAACTAAAGAGAACTTCAGCAACAGGAAAAAGGAACCTGTTCCTTAAAAACACGGAGTGGTGGTTGAAAGAGACATAGACTATGTCCTTTTCCCAGAAACAGTAAAAATTTGTACAGAACAGCTATTTAAAACTATGGATATAGCTGGAGTCTGAAGAGTACTGCAGCTAGTCAAAGACAGCCTCAGGGAAGGGTGTAGTATCATTCTCAGTTGGTTGCTTGGATGTATCTCTGTAATATGAAAAAAAAAAAAGAAAAAAAAAAAAAAAAGACCTTTTTACCATCAGATTCCTCTTCAGGATGTTTGAAAAGTCCCTTAGCAAAAAATGCTGAAGCATTTTGACACAGCATTGGCCAATGGGGCCTGTTTCCCTCATTTTATAGTATCTCCAGGTTGGGAATAGGAAAACAACTCAGGGAGCATGTTGCTGGGGGACATTCTCTGGTCCTTCTTTCCTCCGTTACATAATCCATAAGTTACATGCTTCTGTATTTTTAGCTATAAGTTGGTAAGAGAAAGTTTATGAGAAATCTGCATAATCAAAGAACACATTCCAGTTTCCACACTTTAAAGTTAGCAAAAGTAACCCCCCCAACACGAACAACAGCAAAACACTCCCTCCGGAAAAAAAAAAAAAGAAAAAAAAAAGAAAAAAAAAAAAAACAAACAAACCTGAAAAACATTTCTCAGTGGAGAAATGGACACAATGCAAGCAATTTACTTTTACAGCTTCTTCTTAAATTGTTAAATTATTAACAAGAAGAGAAATTGGAAAGTAGCACCTTTACAAAAAGTCTTTGGTGTGTTAAAATAATGTGAACTATAATTTTTAGACCTGTATACAGTACGGCATGTACAGAAAAGTAATAGTTCTCCCCATTAATTTTTAAATCATTCTCCATCCTAGTCAAGGTGCTATTTTTCAGGCTGTATCCTTTGTATGGAAGCTATAATGTTACCTGCTGAGCAATTGAAAGAGGTGAGAAAAGAGAAAAATAAAGTCAGTAGGGGCCAAATCATGCTCCCACAAAATTAATGGAAGTTCATTCCATTGTCTTTAATGGAAGAAAGCCACTGCACTGAAAACAAAATGTAATAATTTTACCTTCTGTAAACATTGAGCAAATCAAGTATGACACATGGTTAGGGATTGAGAGATTGCTTGCTTGTATTAAAGTAACAAATTTGCTTTCATTTAAAAAAAATTATTTCAAAATAGCATGTAATAATTTTTTTTATCATTTCCCCTTCTGTCTGTAATGGTACAGCCTGGTCAAAAGTAATTGGCATAGAAAGTTCTGGGCAAAATCTGAAGTTGCTGAAATCAGAGTTTCTGGAGTAAGAAAAAAATATGTTTTATAATTGATACAGATTCTGTATATAACAGTCTTATTTATTTGAACTCAAATAGTTTAATCTGCTAATGTTAAACTTTTTTTTTTTTTAACAAAACTATTAGTGGTTGAAAAACACCTGAGCATAATTGCAAGTGGGAGGCAACAGAAATCTTTTAATTAACGCTGGTTATCTTTGTAGCAAAAATCAGACCACTTAGAGAAGCTGTACATAAGTTCAAATGTATTTGTCTTAGTGCTTAGATAGGATTGCTCTGATGCCTGAAGCTCAGATGAATGCAACTGTGTCGAAGCCTTTCCTTCCAAAATCTTCTGCAGAGCTACAGCCACAGCAAGGATGACTTCCCTGCACAGCCTGCTCCTCTCCCAGCCCAGGCCCTCACCTTCCCAACCACTGATCTCCATGAAGGCACCACCTACACACTCCATGCCAGCATTTAATCCTAGCAAGTTAGAGAGAGGCTACTGAGTGAACCCACATTGATACTATAGTTAAACCTTGACAACAAAAGAAGATGGCCCAGTTATGTTTAGGAGCAATCAGTTCTACTGCAGACATTGCAGCAGCTGTTAATAAAACAACAATTAGAAGGAATCAGGAAAAGTCAAAATAAATAAGATGATAATTATGCTATATCAACCAAATTCTATTGCAAAATTCAGGCAAAAGTGGTGACCCACATTTGCAAGCACTTCTATAAACTGGCGTGATTATTTTCCCCACTCAATTAGCATTCTTTACACAAGCAAAATCAAATGATACTCAAACAACACACATAAGCCAGACAAATCTGAGATAGGTAAGGCTGTAAAATAAATGAGCAAGCAACAGTGGCTGCAGAAAAGTACTGATTGGCACCACTGGCGTTCAAGTGGCTTTTCAGGTTTACTTCTGGGAGATGTGCAAAATTTAAATTTGTTAACAAAAAATGCCTTTCATTATCAAGTGAACATCCTACGCAAAAGGAATATTTAGAGCTGTGTCCCACATATGGCTCCTTAGAAGCCATCCCTTGGAGAGACGGAATCTCCCCCACACTTGAAGAAGCAACAAACACTCTGCATAAGTTTTGAAAAGGTTGCTTTAATATAGATCCTAATTTGATTTAGTTATATTAGTTTTAAAAACATATACAAAGACTAATATTATTTTTCTATACCTGTCAGGGAGCGGGTCCTATAATTGTAATGGAAACCTCTGGCAAATATAGAGGGAAAGCTAAATATCTTGTAAGATCCGTGAATATGCTATGGATAGCAGAATAATCAGCCTGCAAGTGCATGTGCTTGTTGGATCAGAACAGTCAGAGCTGATTAAATCACTCTTGGTTTATTGGCATTGTCTAAGCATCCCACAGATTAAAGCAGAAACTAGTTTAATAGGACATGTGAACAAGATTTGACATATATTTTTTAAAACTGATAAAATTGGATGTTTGCAAACAGGGTGTGATTAACCAGACCTGACTGTATTTGACAAACATAATGGTATTTTAGGACTTTTAACAAGGTTCTCGGGGCTTTCAATGTATTTTTGATGGTCACGTATCTGTGGTGAAGTTCCATTGAAGGTGATGGCAATATCCTCCCAGGGCAGGAGTTTGCCCCTAATCTGTAAACAGCCTGGACCAAATGTAACTACCAATGAAGTCAGTGGTGGACACGAGTGTATATGTAGGTGTATGTTAGCTCCAGAATCACAAACCTTATAAACATGATAGCAAGGATAAACTTCAACAAGCTAGAATGTATATGACAAGATCTGCTTAACATCGGAGAGGTAAAGGCAACATCAGTGTCTTCCTTGTGGCTGTGATTCTTCCCTCTCAGAACTGCTCTATCTCTGCACCAGCATTTGTGTCTCTCCAGAACCATAAAGGAAGATGTGAAGTGACTGAGTGAAAAAAAAAAAAAAAAAAAAAAAAAAAAGACAGTTTTAAAGAAACATCCAGCAATACAGCAATCAAGAAACAAAACTGCCAGAGTTTTCACAAATGTCATACTCCCTGCTTGAGTTATGGTTCACAGTTCCTTGTCCACAGCACAGAGTTATTCTTCCACCAAATATTTATATCTGAATCCTTCCTAGACAATTTAATGGGCTACACGTGGGAGATGGATCTTATCTTCAGATTACAGACTGAGTTCAACCTGGGCTAATGTACTGACAGCATCTGGAAACATACTGAGAGTATAAGGTAGCATGTGGCATATGAAATAGAGGATGCCAACAATTCAACAGCAGTGCTGTGTTGGTCTGCAGCTGGAATAGGAGCACCTTCGAAGGGAGAAGTAGTATCTTTTCTTAAGCAAGCTGATGCAGTTAAATAAAGCCGGTAAGTTTTAGGGCCAGGTCTGACCCACCACTAGCAAATGCCAAGCCAAAACAGGCCACAGGCAAAGAGGCAATGATTCAGTATGAAAGAGACACTTGTCAAAGGTTCGTTAAATCCTTCACATTTCCCATCCTCTCCTAAGCCTTCTTTGCTGTACAGATTCTCCAAATGCATTTAATTCTATTCTTAGAAGCTACCCATTCTCTCTGCCCTTCTTAACTGTCAGGCTTCCTCTCCTCTCAGTACCTTTTCCTGTTTTCCCTGCCCAGCAGAGAAATGGAAACTGGTCAGTGAATTGGGAAATCTGTTGAGGAGGAGACAGGAGGGCGCATGCAGAGCATGCCACCAGATCACACAAGACTCAATGCCTTAGAAAACCTTGAAAAGAAAAAACCTTGAAAAGAAATTCGATGTCTGAGGCTTTTTCTTATCATGTACTTTGTATTCATCTCATCTAGCATTCACTGTAATTACAGTAACACAGCTGAGGTTGTTGCATCTACTATCTGCCTGAAGAACTGAAGTTTGCCTCTTCCTTAAGAGGTGAACTCATAACAAGCAGTGTTACATGAGCATCTGACTTAGTATATCAAAGATTTCCGGCTGTACCTTGTGCTTCTCTTAAACGACAGTTTCCCGGGTTACAATGAATTGACTTACACTAACAGGTGCAAACCTCTGCACAGGCACTGCACTGCAGATCATGTGCTCTGATTTGAGTTAAGTATAAGATAAAAGAGATGCTCACATAAACCTGCATGGAGAATCTTTAAGTACTGCCGTCCAGCTGTTTATTACTCCCCTGAAAGTTTAAGGATTACATTCCAAAACTGAAGTAGGTATTGAAGGGAAACAAGTGCATCCACACAAATAGATTTTCTACCAGCTGAGCTACTGCATTTTAGAGGCACTGTTATCAACATTATATCATTAATGTGAGGCTGTAGGTAGATAAGACCTGATGCAGACATTGGCTAAATCTGAACTATTACCGTTTAGAAGCTCTCCACATTTCATAGAATCACAGAATGGTTTGTGTTGGAAGGGATCTTAAAGTTCATCTAATTCCAACCCCCCTGCCATGAGCAGAGACATTTGCCAAGCCCAGCTCACTGTGTTTAAATGTGCTACATTTATACTTGCTGAGTAGTGAAGGACAGTTTTGTGAATGCTCTCGTGGTGGTTAGCAATCACAGAACACCTGCAGTGTATTTTTTCTCATACGCTCTATATAACATGGTCTAGTCTCTACTTTCACACATATTACATCACCTATAATTTGTTGCAACTTCTTTGCAATTTGGTAGTGGGAGATCCCCACATTGCACTTTGTGGCTGCTCAGAAACCTGGAGGGCTCACACACCTACCCTGGCTCCTAAGGGGCTGCCAATCACCCAGCAGTCATTCCAACCAGGAGCTCCATGAATCCTGGTCCAGATCTCCTCTTTGCAGGGAGCTACATGCCCCTTGGAGTGGAGCAGACTCTCCTCTTCTACCTTGCTGTCATCATAAGTCCCACTACCCAACATGTTTGGTGGGATCTGCAAAAAAAGCTAGCTCTTTTCCCAAGGAAAGGATACTGAAGCATCTTCTTTGTCCTTAGTCTCTACTACAATAGCTTTATTGTAGTCTAAAAAAAAAGTCTCTAAAGCTTTTGATCAGCTGGAGAGGCTCACTGTAGTCTGGTGGTGTGCTATATATTACGGTATATAGTATGTATTGAAATGTCGAGGATCCCAGATACATTTTAAGGAGGTGACTCCCACCATATTCTGAGCATTACTGAAAGAGCTGAAGCATCAAATTCAAATGCTACCTGAAAGTAAACATCTGTCTATTTGCCCTTTCCTGACAACAGCCAAGTATATGGCAGGGCTGGCTGGATAGAGATATAGTGAGATGGTTCTCATGGAAACCACGTGAAAAAATAGCATAGAAAATAGCTGAAGGGGACACTGGAGGAAACTGAATAATAGTGACAGGTAGATGGTAATTACCAATCAAAATTTAATTGAGATAAACATCTGTTTTTCCATGGCAGTTACTAGGAGTGAGTCAGGCAAAGTATGAAGATCAACCAGGATGAACAACAGCTTTTCCGACATAGTCAAAGTGAGACAATGTTAGCATATCAGGGGCAGACAGTGAAACCGAAAGAGACTGAACACAGAGACAAGCTGGTAAGATTAGAAGGAAGGAGGCAGCCTAGCACCAAAGACTAAAAGACTGAGAAGGTAGCAAAAATAGGACAAAAATAACACACTCTAAAGGAATAAAAAAAAAAAGAGAGAGAGAGAGAGAAGAGAAGAGAAGAGAAAGAAGAGAAGAGAAAGAAAGAGAAGAGAAGAGAGAGAGAAGAGAAAAGAAAGAAAGATCAATAGAGAAGGAGAATAATATGAGAGAAGAAAGAAGAGTCCCCATAAAATCTCTAACCTACGACTACTCATCAGCCTCCTCTCCTCTCCTCCTCGCCGCTCCTCCTCTCCTCCAGCGCCTCTCCTTCCTCTCTACTCCAAGAGAAAGAGAAGAAGAGAAGAGAAGAGAAGAGAAGAGGATATGCCACATGGGACTGGAAGTGCCTTTGTTGGTGTACTTCTGTGCTCCAAAAAAGAATTTCTTCCAGCAAATGCCTATTTATGAAGGTATAAACACCTCTAAGCTAGAACCTTTGCTGCCACAGCAATGTCATTTCAAGAAACCACCTCCCTGACCCACACTGTGACATCAGCCAGGCTCTAGGGCCTACCAGAGCTTGTGCAATATGTTTACCATGATACTGGTTTCTCTCTGAAGGAGAAAAAGAATGGGGACAGTCATGCTCCCATCTCCTTGGGTGTCTGTACCAGTTGCGGCAGTCTGTGGGTCTGGCCAGTTTTCTGGAAGAGAAAAAGAAAGTTGGGAGTGTGGAGCTGACCTCTGAAAGACTTCTCCATATAGATGAATGGCAGATATCTCACATCATTTTCTGTTCATTTATATCCACCTAAAGCTAACCACAATCTGTCCCCAAGTTATAAAATATTACTAAGGAAAAGTGAATGGCATTTCTTGGCCAATGTAATTAGATTTCAGAGCCTCAGCCCACAGGACAGTGCAGTCTACTCTGCAGAATATTAAGTTCAATAACTGGAATCAACAAACAAAACTGGAAGACGTCTCACTTGAAACAATATATATTAATATAGTAGCATAATAAATAATAAATATTGTTAATACTGCCGTAAATAATGTATTATGCTAGATTTATGTAATAAATAATACATAAATATGTAATCATCCTTCGAAATAACATAAAATTAGCAATTGTGAAGTGAACTTAGTGTATTAACATGCTTCAGGAGAAGAAGCCTACAAGTTATTTAGAGTCTGAATCACTGTGGCACTGTAATAGGTTAGCTGAGAGTAATACCGTCAACACCACATGAGGATGCAAAGGAGTAGAGAGCTGACTGTTGCCTCACAAAGCAAATGGTAATGCATGTCTCAATTTTACGTTCAGGGTGATAGGTCAGTTGATCTACTGGGTGTGCCATGTTTTTTTGTTTAAAAAAGTTAATTTATTGCTGACTCAAGGCCTTGAGTAAGTTGTTTTCCAAAAACTAAGATGAAATAAAGCAACACAGGCAGTTAACAGATTTAGGAGAATATAAAGATCATCCCTGTGGTACAGCAACACAGAAATACTTTGGGCTTCAGCAGGGAGTCATGCTTTGGCTCTGTTCCCAGAGTCTTCATAACACTTTTTATCTCCAAGCACCTTACAGACTTGGGACAATTAATATGTATGCAGTCCCTTTGGGGTCACCCTGTTTTATTGGAGGTTTTTCTGCAGGTTTCCTGGTTTCTGGAGGAAGAAATTGATACACAGATTTTTGAGGGCAGATTGCTAAAGATTTCCACTCCTCTTCAGAATGTGTTAGTATGAACTAAGTGGTGATGCCTTTGTATCCATGGCCAGACTTTCTGGCATATCAGTATCAAAATATTTTGTACTTTTCTGCAGGTTATGCCACCCATTTCAGGACTAAGTGACAGGGGAGCTCTAATAAGAATAATCTCTGTATGATGCGCTCAAAACCACAGCAAGACATTTGGTTACTAAAGGAAAGGTATTTACACAGCTTAAAGTGACCCTCAGTATCTTTCAAGACCAACCTATGAATTTTCATAGGCATTTGGGTACTAAAAATTTCAGGTGTGCACCTGGCAGTATTTTCACGAGCACTTAAGCCAGGGAAGTGGCTAATTCCCATCCCTTAGGCACAGACGTTAATTGTGGAAAGTACTTTTGAGCTCAGCAGCTAACCTGAAAATATCACTCCCTGTGAAAAGCTTGGTCTAAAACACATGCTGCTCTCTTCAAAGAGCAGTGGAGTCTGCAGCTTCCAGCTCTCCTAAGCAACAAAAGGGAATGGAAATCTCCAATTCCACTTTGGGTTGTTTCCTTTCTAGCCAGGGAAAGAGGCAATACCATTTACAAAACTGTGCAGGCCATAATAAGGTGACTTCAGTATTGTTATTCACTGAATTCCATAACAAAAGAACCAAGGAGCACTAACTGATACTAGACAGAGATCAGTTTAAAGCAGATGAAGGAAAATATTTGTGTACACAGTCAGCAGTGAACATCTGGGATTTGTTGCCACAAGGGGTGATGGAGGTGTTGGCAGGCTCCACATAAGTTTAGGCAAATTCATTGACAACAGACCCTTAAATAGGTGCTAAAAGAACTGTGCAGGGAGGTACCCTCCAGTATCCCTAACACCACAGCTGTGGCTGCTGGTGGAGTGTGTAGAAAAGTGCATGCAGATGAAGGTGTTTTCCGTACAGATCATGGGTAGGCTCACAAGCTCTCTCATCACCATTTGCACCACGAAAGACAGAGTACTGGAAGAGATGAATTGTCTTTTGGGACAGAAGGACATTTCTTATGTTGTGGAGCAAGGGAGGCCAGATGAGGAAGCCCCTCGTTCGTTCAGACTGGCAGCATTTGATGCCTAAATTCTGATAAAGACTGTAGCAGTACTGGAGAGGACTGCAGCATTAGAAAGCAAATTCTGTGTTTGGGGAGGGAGTGGGGGTCTGCTGGGGCTGTGGTGAGCCTCGTGCCAACACCAGCTGCTGGAGCAGCTCACCAGGCTGCCAGGGAGCCCCCTTCACAAAGCAATCTCCCCACTCCCAGCTCAGATTCCTGTGGCTGAGCAGAGAGGGCAATATTGCTCTGTCCTCGTGGAGGATACATTCCACCTTCCTCACAAGGAATTTGACGGTCTGGATCCAGTCAGGGCTCCCTCTGAAGGGAGCCAGGCTTCAGTCTCTTCACACCAAAATCACAGTTCTGATTTTCCTGACTGAAATGCTTCTGGTTGATTAAAACCCTACTGCAGCTGCCTCTAACCAGCTTTGGCTGCCTGACATCAATCAGTAAGTGACCAAACGAGCACTACTCAGATTTCCTTACTCTGCCTGTAAGCCACACCCAATTAAAACGGATGAGTTTCTATTGCATATGGGAGAAAACCAGACCCCTACTTCGAAGGTTCAGTGACAATTACACAGCATGTCAAGGATGTCCCATCCAAAGAAACACATGAGATACAGATTGCTTTCTTGGAAGGTCCTCCCAGGTATGGTTCAGGCAGCCATTGCTATAGGGCAACAAAATAAAATTTTTCACTCAGTAACTATTCCAAGTAGGATTTGAGATTGCTCACTCTCTCACTGCAGGGTTTTGTAAATCCCTGCCTACTCATTTACCATTTCACCAACTCCAGAAGGCAGAAACAAAACCAAATAATTTGTCCACCTCTTATTGTAGTGTCTGAAACAGCACTACATCTCAGAATGTTCCAGCAGACAGGGAAAGGCTCATTGCAACCATATTTGTTGCTATCTCAGCAAGCACCTGCCTTCTCACCTCAAATCCAAATATTAAGAGTCAAGAGATAAACTGTCTCCTGGAAAGATTGCTTTAGAAAAGTTCAACAGGCAGAAACCTCTGCCTAGTAGAGGTTTGTTAGGATGGTAGGATCAAGCATTAAGTGCTGCATTAACACTCTCATTGAAGTCTGACCTGGTAGTTGGGGCACTGCTCAGAGCCACAGGTGGGATTCACAGCAAGAAGCAAAGAGTCCTGGAAAAAGACATGTCTCTGGAGACCAGGAGAACTCATGTAGCTGGGCAAGCAGGAACAGGAAGAGATGACCCTTTAGTTAAAAATGTCTTTGATGTGACCTTGAGAGGAGGGAATTAGGTATGAAGTTCTTCAGACAGATGCCAGAGAATTGAAGTTCATAAGCCAGGCCATCAGATCTTGATGAATTTGAACGAGCTCCAGCTTAATCAGCTTTGTTAAGTTTGGTCAGCAGTTCTCACGCAGAACAGTCAATAACCTGCCGACTGCCAGAAGCTCCGGCTCAATCTCTGTATGAGATCCAGTGCACCAAGAAGGAGGTTTTATGGTATTTATATAGTCACCTGAAGTAAAAATGACAGCAGGAATTTTCACAGGCTAGTGCAACTTGTTTTCCACCAGTTCTTTCCTTTCCAGTTCTTTTAATGAACTGGAAAAGAAAGGATTTTTATGTTTCGATACTTTCTTTAAAAACTGTTCCATGGAGCTTTGTTCCATTCCCCACCACTAAGCAGCATTTCTGCCAGCTGAGAGGCTCAGGACTCACCCTGCCCCTCAAACACACTGGTGGAAATGTCCCACACAATCTCCCCAGCTGCAGCACACCCTGTGACACCCTCAGGCTGGTTCAGCACCCCCTGGAGTAGAGTATTTTCCAGCCCTGTCCCCAGGAAGGGAGAAGGAGGTCAACCAGCCAGGAGCAGGGCTGCCATGTGGTACCTGGCCTCAGTGCAGACGTGGTGTACTAGCAGCAAGGACACAGGTATGATGCAGCTCTCATGCCTCGACAAGTTACATCATGATTTACCCAAAGGGCTTGCACACTGTGCAGGCAAGGCCAGGGACTCCTGCTTTTCAGGCTTTCAGATTGCAGCGATAAATTATCTTCTGTTCTTAAGGTAAACCCCAACCCTATTGAAGTCAGTGAGAACTATGTCACTGAATGAGCTGAGACATTGTCCAATGAATGTGCATGTTTGGCAAGCTAAATCAATCCTCTTTCTTTCTTTCTTTCTTTCTTTCTTTCTTTCTTTCTTTCTTTCTTTCTTTCTTTCTTTCTTTCTTTCTTTCTTTCTTTCTTTCTTTCTTTCTTTCTTTCTTTCTTTCTTTCTTTCTTTCTTTCTTTCTTTCCTTTCTTTCCTTTCTTTCCTTTCTTTCTTTCTTTCTTTCTTTTCTTTCTTTCTTTCTTTTCTTTCTTTCTTTCTTTTCCTGAACCGAAGGTTTCCTAGTGTGATTTGAAAGGGAGTCATCTTTGCAGGGAGAAGGCATGAAAGAATGAAAAGGAAACTTTGATATTTGTTTCTTTCAGGTATCTATGCAAAATTTTAATTAACTTTTAAGAAGTCTATAGAAAATAACTCTCAGTTTTGAAACACCACGGGAGATATATTAAGATGCAGTTCTAAGTTTTGCTTTCAGTGATGATAGATCCATGGTTTTTTTTGTTTATTTGTTTGTATGTTGCTTTTTTTTAGCTCACTTCCACCAGGCTAGTAAAAACTTCAGAGCGAAATCATTATGGTATTGTCATTGCAGTGCAGTTTTGTTCCTTTGTTAATTTTGGACAAAGTCCTACAGTGTAGTAAAATTATTGAACTTGGTTTTGCTTAGGTCTCTAATTCCTGTAGCTCCTCTATTACCATGTGGCAGGGCACCCTATAGGCACAATAAATAAATAATACAACACTGAGAGCTGTAACAAATCACAAAATACATTATTAAAAAATTAAGAAATAAATATCCCCCTCTTACTTAAATAGAGATTGATTTTATAATGTGGAGTGCTGAGGAGAGCTACTGGGAAATATATGTGGGCCTGGGGACACGGAGAATACACTGTAATGGGCGATTTGCTCCCCAGATTAGAAAAATAAAAAACCCTGAGTGAATTGATGTATTTGTCAAGTGGAAACTGAGCTACCCTGTTTGCTCGATGACCAGGTGTGATGCACTGCTTGCTCCATCCCCTCATGTCAGATGTGGCCAGGAGGGAGCAACTGCCTCTCCTGATCTCTGTGTGCTAAGCCTACAGCAAAAACCTGGAAAAGACAAGCTGGCAGACAAAGATTACTCTTTATATCTGAAATTGTGCTGCATGCTTCAAAACCAGATGCTGGCAGTGAAGAATGGGTGGCCTTCCCCAGGGTCACTCTTCCAGCAATGCTTCTCCAACTCTGGGAGGAGGTTCCCAGGTGAGACATTGTCCTGGGCGGAGGTTGGACATCCCATGGCACAGAAGGAATAGGAGGATCTGTCTGAAACACATGCCAGGGGGCACCACACAGGAACACATTACAGGGCACTGCTCAACAGCCAGTACATCTTGTTCCCTGGCAGAAGGAGTGGGTCTCAGTACTTCATTGAGAGGATTGCAGCTCCAGTCAAACCTAAGTCTCATAAACGATTCCCCTTGCTTCAGGACCCTTTTTACCCTTTCCTATGAGCGGGGGGATAGGAGACATGCAGGAAGCTTGGCAATTCACTTCTGTGTGCTGCAAGGGTCTGTGCCCCTTGCTCAATGTGCTACTCTTCACTGCACAGACACTTTTTCTTGAGTATGGCAACCCTGCTCTGCACCGCTGGAGCTTGGGGCTCTGCAGCTGTGCAGAATCTTTCAAGTACATTTTCTAATGTGAGGACAGACCCTCCCAACATGCAGTCTGCAGGCGTTGCCCTTTTCTGTATCATCTGTCACTTCTACAAAGAGTTCATCTCTGTCATCTTTGGAAGCTACCGTTTGGGCACTTGTATGTGCTTATTAAATAACCCATTTGCTTCCTTTTCATATAACTGAATGCCAGCTGCCCTAACCTCTTATTGGTAGTCACATCCATCATAGCAGCCTTCCCCTGGGCCGCCTTTCCAAATTCCCTCCTGAGCCAGTCTCTACCCCAGGTGTGACCGCACCAGTACAGAGTAGAAAATAAGAATGTCCATCGATTGAAGTCCTCACTCTTTTGATGCAGCTCAGCATGCAGATGGCTTTGGTAACACTGAGCAGGGGGCAGCTGGCTCAGCCTGCAGCCCACAGTAAGCCCCAGCTCTGCTTCAGTAGGATGACCCTGAGCCTGGCTCCCTGGCTGTGCTGTGCTTCATGTTGTCCTGCTGGGTGGCCAAACCCTTCATGTGTGCCACTGAACATCATAGGGTGGCTCCTGGTCTGAACCTCTGGATTAACACCCCCAGGTGCCTAAACATCAGGGTGCTTCTGGACTGAAGTGCTGCTGTTCCCTGTATAGGTCACTCCACATTTGGTGTCATCTGCAAAATTACTGGGGGAGCTTTCTGTGTCACCATGCAGGCCATTGAGGAACATACTGAACAGCTTCAGCACAGTACCATAGAAACCAGCCACTTCCTGTGCATGGTCTTCAAGAGGCCACATTTCACCCTATTACCCATGTAAGAGGGTGCAGAACAGCAGAAGAGATTCACCACCCATGCCAGAACAGTGCTCACTTTTGCCAAACACAGACATCTATTTCACTGTTCCCCTCCTGCTCCTATCCAGCTCTTGCTTTCTGCACAGACTTTCTTGTTGGGAGTGAGGTTTTGCGTCCCAGCCCCACCGAGTTTTCTGCTGAGACTGCCAAGAAGAGGACTTAGCAGGATGGTCATGGTGCTCTTTTGTGAGAGGGACATGAGAAGAAGGCCAATGCCTTGAGAAAAGTGCCAATTTGTCCCTAGATGGTAAATTACTGGGCCGTTTTGCCTGTCTTCTCAAAAGACAGAAATTACTTCTCTTAAATGAAACTATTAGTGACTTGTGCCTCTGTTTGGTCTTCACATCAAAGTTATTCTCTTCAGCCTGCAATGTGAAGTAGTGCCAAGGTGCAATACGCATACTTTGAAATGGGGACAGTGATGTGGAGGACTATTTAGCCAACCCAGAGACCTCATTTTCACTCCACAATATGATTACGAGCTGGAAAACACTGACAGATAAATACCTTAAAGTAGAGCTGCCTGCAGGCTATTTCTGTTCTGCAGTTCACACAGACAGGCCTGAGCTAGCTCTAAAATAGCCAGCTTGGCTATTGAGAACCCAGTTGTGGGCGGGTGCGGCTTGACGCAGATTAATCCCACAGATATTCCCTCATCTCCTGCATGAGTCTCGCAAGCCACACTGAGTCCTCCCATGCCACAGCTCTGCTGCCAGCAGTGTCTTGACCAAAGACAGCTGATGGCTTCATGGCTGCTCAGCTTGGAGGCTCCTCCTGCTTCCATAAAGGAAAGATCTGGTGTCCCAGAAATACCATTCCTTTTTGCCTAGGAGAGTGCTCTGTAGAGATGGAGATGAGGCAGCAGCTTGAGCTGGGGGCATATGAATAGCACACAACACAGCTGGCCAAGGATGTGGCTGGCCAGTCTGCATTGCTCCTTACCACTGACTCCTTTTTGCTGTTCCTTTTTTATCCCTTCTTGCAAATATCTCTGCCGTGAAGCTACAATTCTCCCTGGTGCCACAGACATTTTTAGCATTGCTTATGTGTACTGCTTTTTCTTATCATTTACCTAGGAAGCATAAGGATTAAAGGGACTGCTTTATTTACTGCTACCCAAATGCTCTACATCAGTGACAGCATCTTTATATTTTCATACAGCTACCATTAACAGCTCACAGACACAGAGTTCCTATACATGCTAGAATTGGGCTGTATTTTATATGATGACTGCTGCTGACAGAACACCAATTCTGATATACCTTATGGTAACACATTATGGCAACAATTCTTCACAAATGTCCCATTGTTATGAATCCATTTTGCTTTGAACTTAGTGTGTCACAAAGCTGAAGCAGACAGTGCAATATATGCTTCTTGGTAGCAGTGATGTGACATGCATCTCCCCTCTCCTGTTTTCACCCTCCCCTTGTCCTACAGGGAAAGCTCAGCCATCAGCATCTGAAGGGATGGCCATAGTTGTTTCTGATGTTGCAAAAGAAGAGAAGAGAACATATCACCCTTTGTGATGTGAATAATAACTAGATAAAATATCGAAAGGGTATTTATTCAACACATGAATTAAATTTCAGGGCTTCAAAAATAAACAGCAGTGGAAGTTTAAAAATATACTTTTCCAAGTGCTATTTTTGCAGGCTTTTTATTTGCTGAAATACCTTTGTTTTTACAGGAGGTGACATTTAGCTGTGATGGGAATATATTATATATATTTTAATAGGTTATTCTAAATTTA